CAACCCCCCTGGCGGGTGCAACCCCCCTGGCGGGGCGGGTGACCCCCCTGGCGGGTGCCACCCCCCTGGCGGGTGCCACCCCCCTGGCGGGTGCCACCCCCCTGGCGGGTGCCACCCCCCTGGCGGGTGCCACCCCCCTGGCGGGTGCCACCCCCCTGGCGGGTGCCACCCCCCTGGCGGGTGCCACCCCCCTGGCGGGTGCCACCCCCCTGGCGGGTGCCAACCCCCCTGGCGGGTGCCACCCCCCTGGCGGGTGCCACCCCCCTGGCGGGTGCCACCCCCCTGGCGGGTGCAACCCCCCTGGCGGGTGCAACCCCCCTGGCGGGTGCAACCCCCCTGGCGGGTGCAACCCCCCTGGCGGGTGCAACCCCCCTGGCGGGTGCAACCCCCCTGACCCCCTGGCGGGTGCAACCCCCCTGGCGGGTGCAACCCCCCTGGCGGGTGCAACCCCCCTGGCGGGTGCAACCCCCCTGGCGGGTGCAACCCCCCTGGCGGGTGCAACCCCCCTGGCGGGTGCACCCCCCTGGCGGGTGCCACCCCCCTGGCGGGTGCCAACCCCCCTGGCGGGTGCCAACCCCCCTGGCGGGTGGCCCCCCTGGCGGGCGGGTGCAACCCCCCTGGCGGGTGCAACCCCCCTGGCGGGTGCAACCCCCCTGGCGGGTGCAACCCCCCTGGCGGGTGCAACCCCCCTGGCGGGTGCAACCCCCCTGGCGGGTGCAACCCCCCTGGCGGGTGCAACCCCCCTGGCGGGTGGCGGGTGCAACCCCCCTCGCGGGCGCGACCCCCCTCGGGGCTGCGACCCCCCTCGGGGCTGCGACCCCCCTCGGGGCTGCGACCCCCGTCGGGGCACGTCGCTGGAGGGCCTCGCGCCTCCACGCCTCCACGTTTCTCCTCCTGCTCCTCCTCCTCCTTCTCCTCCTCGTCGTCCTCCTCCTCCCTCCTCCGCCTCCGCCTCCGCCTCCTCCCCCTCCTCCTCCTCCTCCTCCTCCTCCTCCTCCTCCTCCTCCTCCTCCTCCTCCTCCTCCTCCCTTTTTTTCAAACTGGGTCGTCGCTTACGCAGACGGGGCGCCCAACGTCGCACCTGACCAGTCGGGCCGAACCGAACCGGAGCGGCCACTCGAACCGAACCGAACCGGTCGGACCCAACCGCGCGAAAACCGGAACCGAACCGAACCGGCGGCAGGCCCAAGCCGAACCGGCCGAAACCGGACCGATGCCAAACCGAACCGGCCAAGCAAAACCGACCCGGCTGCAGAACCGGACCGAACCGAACCGAGCCGATCCCTTCATGATAGTGGCACGCCCATGGCGCGGATCGTGCCCCGATCGCCAGACGGGAGCTTCATAGCGTCGCCCCGCTCACTTCGGCACCTCTCACACGGATCGTGGCCCGCAAGGTGTTCCACGGACAACCCCAAAGATAAGGTTTGCATACCGCCCTCCCGCCTACTTCGGCACACCTCTCACACAGATCGTGGCCCGCAAGGATCTCCACCTGCAGCCTCAGAGGCAGGGTTCGCACCGCGCTCCGCCCACCCCCCCCTTGGCCCTTGCCGCACACCCACTCACGCGGATCGTGCCCACATGGCGCACCACCTAAAGGCCAAGAGAGAAGGTTCGTACAACGGCCCCTCCCTGGTGTCGGCACACCTATCACGAGAGTCATGCCCCAGAGAGAGCTCCACATATGGCACCAATGGGCAGCTCCGCATGGCGTCCCCCCGCCCATTTCGGAACACGCCTCGCACGGGGCGTGCCCAGAGGAGGTCCACCTGCGGCCTCCAGTGGGCGTGTTCGCGCGGCCCTTCAAGCGGATCGTACCCACAAAGAGTTCAGCGCACCCGTGCGCGCGTGCTCCGCAGCAGCCACCTTTCCGCATTGCCCCCCCGCGGCGCGCAGTGTATGAAGAGAGACCCATGTCCTGCACTGCGCATGACTGTGTAGGAATGGGTCCGTCGCCAAACCCATGGCTTGCTTATCTATGGCCTTCGGCCCATACCCCTACTGTGCCTGAGCTTTGGGGAGGAGGAGGAAGGAGAGAGGGAGGAGGAGGAGGAGGAGGAGGAGGAGGAGGAGGAGGAGGAGGAGGAGGAGGAGCCAGGGGATCCTCGGAAACCTGTAGCACGGGGTTTCTTGGCACGCTGCCTGGGCGCCTCGCGGAGCGACTTTTGAGACTCCTTCCCCTTTTTTCTGGAGGCGCGGACTAGGCTGAAAGCCGCTCGCAGAAGCCGCAAGAACGTAGCATCAAGTCGGGCGTGTCCACCCCCCATACAGTGGGATTTTCGACGACAAATCAAACATGTCCCCAAAATGGTCCAACAATAATCTGGGGACTATTTTTTGTTGGGGGGGGGGGTTGTTGGGGGTATTTTGTTTATTTTTCGTCGTAGATCCCCCTGTAGGGGGACAGGCCCGACTTGAACTCGGGAGCGGCCAAGAGGGGGGTGTCCAAGAGGGGGGGGTGCAAATCATGACCGGCGGCCATGTGCGCGGCCCAGCGGGGGGGCCCAGGGACGTAATGAAACAAGAAGGGGCGCCATGAAATCTGAGGAAAAACCATGGCCCGCGCCATGAAATCCACCCCCCCTAGTCATCACCCCCCTCTTTTCCGCCCCCGACCCAAGGGGGGGGCCCAAGGGGGGGAGGAAGGCGGATTTGGCCCGGGTCACGAGCGCTACCCCGGAGATGAACCAACGCGCTCCCCCGGTGTGCCCAGGCGGTCCTTGTTTCTGAAGGGGCCCCAGGACACACAAATAAATACACACAAATAAAAAGATTCCGCACATTTTCCCACATGTTCTGGGCTTCTCTCTTCCCCCCCACCCCCCCTAGTCATCACCCCCTTCTTTTCCGCTCCCGATGAACGTAGCACGGCCCTGCCGAGCACACTGCCGGGCCTGGGAGGCCTGCAAGAAAGGAGGAGGAGGAGGAGGAGGAGGAGGAGGAGGAGGAGGAGGAGGGCACCCGCGGCGGCCCGAGCCGCGCGCCCTGGCCCGGGGAAATCCCGCGGGTGCCCGACCAGCACCGCACCCACGGCGCACGCCGCCCCCGACGGCCAGCGCACGGGCGCCGCCGCCTCGTGGCTCCCCTTCCCCTCTCCCTCTCGCTCCCCTCGCTGCTCCCTCGCTGCTCCCCTTCCCTTTTCTCCCCCTCGTGCTTCCCTCCGTGCCTCCCTCCCATTTCCCTCTCGTTTCCCTCTCGCGTCCTTCCCCTTTCCCCTCCGGTGCCATGCTGCCTCTCGTTTCCTTCCGTTTCCCTTCCTTGTTCGTCGCGTTTCCTTCTGCTTCCTACACGTTTAACCCTCGTTTCCCTCCGACTCCCTCCCTGTTCCTTCCGTTTCCCGTCCTGTTCTGTCTCGTTTCCTTCTGTTCCCCTCCGTTTTCTCTCTCGTTTCCTACAGTTTCCCTCCCCTTTCTTTTTGTGCCCTTTTCCGTATTATTTCCTTCCGTCTTTGTTTCGGAAAATCCGCCGACCCTGTCGGCGTGTGTGAGGGGCTTTGCTGTTCTAGTAGTCGTCTCCGTCAATCGTCGTTTCCGTCGTCGCCTTTCCCTGCACCCTCCTCCTCAAGCTTGTCAGCGAGAGAAAACTTTAGCAATGTCGCAATCGACTCGAAGGGGAGCCCCTTCCCTTTGATCCCTTCCCCGCGCGTGGGGGGGTCCCGGGGGGGTCCCCACCCAGATACGCTTTCCCCCCCTGGGTGCCCTGGGGCCTCAGAAAGTACCAAGAGCCCTCCAGACTGTCCAGGAGGCCTCCAGGACGCCCCAAGACGCCTCCAAGAGCACTCCCGAGAGGGCCCCAAGAGGCCAACATCATCAGTTTCCGTTTCCCGCCGCTCCAAAACGGCGCCAGAGGCCCCCAACATCTCCCTAAGACGGCCCGAGAGGCCTCCAAGAAGGCCCCAAAACAACTGAGGACCCCAAAACAGCCAAAAATGCTTCCAAGACGGCCCCAGATGCCTCCAAGACGGCTGCAAGACGGACAGTTCGAGCCCTGGGCCCCAAGAAGTTCCCCAGAGGCCCCTAGAGGCTCCCCAGAGGCCCCAAGAGGCCCCCAAGAGGCCCTTTTTTTCCCCCCAGAGGCCGCCGAGAGACTTCCGAAGAGATTACAAGACCCATCCTTGGCCCATGTCAGCGTCGTCGTCGTTGCCGCCGCCGCCGCCATTGTCGTCGTCGTGGTCGTCGTCGCCGTCGTCGTGGTCGTCGTCGTCGTCGTCGTGGTCGTCGTCGTCGTCGTCGTCGTCGTCGCGGCACTGGCCGTAAGGCCTTCGCAATCTGTGATGTTCCATTGGCTGTTCAAGGATTTCCGAGTTCTCGCCTGTTCTGCTTCCCGATGCTCCAAGACGCCCCAAAGATCGGCCCAAGAGGGCCTCGAGACGGCCCAAGAGGCGCTCAAGACGGCCCAAGAAGCCCAATTAACGGCTCTAAGGGGGGCCAGGTGGGGGACCCGAACGGACATGTCGAGCCCGCGGACCCGAGAGGCCCCCAGGAGGCCCCAAAAGGCTGCCAAGAGGCTGCCAAGAGACCCCGAACGGCCCAGAAGAGGCCCCAAGAGGACCCCAAGAGGCCCACAAGAGGCACCCAAGAGGGCCCAGAGCTGCCCACAAGAGGCGCCCGAGAGCGCTCCGAAGAGACCCCAAGAAGCATCCCTGAGGACTCTGACCCACAACACAGGCACGAGGGCGTGATGGGCCGAAGGCCATTATGTTAGCAATCGTAATTGAGAGAGGGCTTGGGGGGAGGGGAGACGGAACGCCTGCAAAGGTCGCCAAGCGCAGAGGCTCGCGAAACAAACAAGTGGCTGCTAATTGGCTGGGCTGGATCAAATAGCATCGACTTGGGACACCCGAGTGGGCCAGATGAAACGGGACGCCCAGATCGAACCTGATCCTGAACACACTTGTGTCATCGACATCGCAGACTGTAGAGACGCTGTCCACCCAGACGTCTGGAGCGCGTTGGGCGCAGTTAACAAATAAGAGGGACGAATAATCTGTGACGGAGTCACTCCATGAAGACGTTCAAGCAAACGCCGAAACACGAACACCGCAACTTGTAGTGGTTGAACAAAGTTGGGCGAACGTGCCCTTTCTGCCTGGAGCTCGGATGAGCTGGACTCATGGGCAAATTCGTGCAGATGGATGCACATGTGCCCTTTTGCTTCGAGGGGCACCTTTGCCAACTCCCAGGAGTGGGCGCATCTCGGGGAACAAATATCGGGGATGGACAAACCTCCTTTTAGTAAAACGTGGTTTAGTGAAAACGACTTCGGGCCCAAACCTGGCGGGCGCAAGCATGGAAAATAACGGCCACGGCGCTCTCTCGAAAACCGAAAATGGACAATTCACTAATCGACGTGTCACTGTTGGGGGTTCTGTCCACCCCCGAAAATAGGGCACAAACCAAGACTTTGGAGGTCTGCGCGGATCTTCTGGATCGGCGCTGGACCCCTCTCCTTGGCGCGCGGAGCACGCCAGGCGCGGCGCTGGAGGCGCCGCCAGGGAGCGCCAGTGTCGATCAGAGAAATCTTTGTAGACCTCCGAACATGTATGTTTATACATATATATATATATGTTCCCCGAACACCACCCATCAACGAGCGGCATTCACGCGCCTGGCTGACAGCACGCCTACCGCGTCGGAGGCGCTCGCCCTGCGGAGGGGCTCGGGCCTCAGCAGCGCCGCCAGGCACGCCAGCGCCGCTCCGTCATGCACGCCGCCCATGCTCGCCATCGCCTGGGAATGGGAGCCAGCTTGGGCGAAGAACTCGAGTATCTCCCGCATGGCCTGCGCGAGGTGTGCGCAACGGCGCCATGGCACCGAGAGCTCGAGCGAGCCGTGCTTGCAAGCGGTCTCCAGGAGCACTACCCCTAACCTCCAACAATCTGCCGGCTTTGGCCAGTACGGCTCCCCCAGCGCTGACGCCAGAGCGACGCACAGGAAATAACCGCACATGGTCTTCCGCGTGCTGGAGTCTGGAACGTGCCATGCTGAAGCCCACCAAGCGGGAAACGATCCGATTCCTCGCCATCTCTACCGACACATGCCTCAGCGACACGTGCCCATGAGTGTAAAATCATTGGCGCGGCAATAGGACAGAGCACTCGCGATCTGGGTGATGCAGTCCACGGCGTCGTCCCTGGACAAATGGTGGACTGGTTTTGTCGACAGCTACCTGCTCCATGCAGAAGTCGCAGCCATACTGGAGCACCAGGTGCAAATGGGACTGGCTGTGCAGCATGCTTGCACAGCGGATGATGTGTGGGGTGGTCGAGGGTGTGTCAGAAAGTTGAACTCCTGGTATATGCTCTCGACCTCCTCGGCAACGGTGACGCTGCGCTTGCTGCGCGTCTTGATCACGACATTCTCGCGCTGCCCGTTGACCGCCAACAAGACGTGCTGATGATTTGCGTACTCCTGCACCAACCGGAACTCCCCCTGTCCCCAAATTCCAGCAAGCGCTTTTTTAGAGCAGAGCAATTGGGCATGAGCAACTTCGGGATGGTCTCCCAAAGACGACTGTCGTGTTCGTCCACGATGGTCTGGAGCTCGTTGGAAGAACACACTTCCGCGTTCAGGGTGCTCTCGTAGCATTACGAACGCAGCTGGATCGCGGTGTTTTGTGCAAGCTCCAGACGTACCTTCTGCTGCAATCCCTCTGGGTCCACCTCCAATTCCATCAACTCGCCGCTCGCCCCAAAGCTGTAGAGCGGGTCCTGCCGCGCTGTCAGCTCGGTACCCACCCGATCAAGGTGGGTACAAGTGCGCGGCCGGGTGTGTCAGGGTGCGCAGCCGTCAGATAGTCCAAGAGATTTGTCAAGCTCTTCCCCTCACTTGTCTTGTCCACACGGACGGGATCACCACGGCCTCGTGTTGCTCCACCATCTGGGTTATGTTGCCATGGCAAATCTCTGTCTGTTGCCTGCCTCGGGGGCCAGCACGTTGGTTGCCTATCCTGCGAGCTCCACGGCGCCAGGGCCAGAAAACCAAAGCCCGACGAACTGGGCGCGACGATTGAGACGTAGCCCCACGACCGTTCGGATCGAAATCATCGCCTCTCCATCGTGAGTGATCAATGAAGCGGCACCTTGCGACTTGAGACAAAATGTGCGGCTAGGGAGGGAAGTGGGAAAATCAATCGATTGGCCTGGCTGCATTCTAGGCCACCTAACTTCGCGCATCGCGACCCGCGATGCGCGATTACGCATCTTCGCGCCATTGCGCCGCCCCACCATGCAGAAGGGCAGCCGCTCTGGCCTAGACCGCGACGCGCGAAGCACGTTTTTATCTTCACGCCCCCGCGGGTGACCTAGGCACCAGTCGTCTCAAATCCGCCGACCCTGTCGGCGTGTAAAGACGCTGTCGTCGTCATCGTCGTCGTCGCGTCGTCGTCGTCGTCATAGTCGCCACTCCGGACGAAATTGAAAAACGTAGTAGCTCACTCGAAGGGAAGCCCCTTCACTTTGATCCTGCCCCCGCCGGGAAAGGGGTGGCACTAGGACGTGAAGCGATAAGCGAAGACGTAAGTTTTCAGGAAACAGACGATGTTTGACAGGACTGTGTTACACCTGAGAACAGCCCCAATCAGTGGATGGTTTTCGCTGAGGAGATCGACCAGACAACAGATGATGTTTGACAAAAGGTAGACGTGAGTTCTCAGCGAACAGATGATGTTTGACAAGACTGTACAACGGTGTGGAGCGGGCGCGGCAAAAGGTGCCCTGAACCGCATGCCCACGCAGACCCCCCGCGTACCGGCATGCTGGGCCCCCGCTCCACGGAGCCCAGAACACTGCTTGTGCTGCCCGATCTCCTACCGCTCGAGTCTGTTGCTCAGGCGGGTCCGTCGTGTCTCGCCGGCAGCCCAGACGCAACCCGCCCAGACCACCAACAAGCCACAACGGATAGCCAACACTAAATCCGCCGCCGACTCTGCCGGGGTTTTTGAAGGGTTTGTCTCGGATTCGTGGCCCCATAGGTAGCTCTGCTGCAGGCCTCAATGGCAAAGTTCGCCTGCAATACCACTCCCATTCCGGCGCACCCCTCACACGGTTCGTGGCCCCATATGGAGCTCCACCGAGGGCCTCAACGGCAAAGTTCGCATGCAGTTCCACCCAATTTCGGCACACCCCTCACACGGTTCGTGGGCCCCGTAGGGAGTTCCACCGAGGTCCCGAGTGGCAAAGTTCGCATGCAGATCCACCCCCATTTCGGCGCACCCCTCACACTGTTCGTGGCCCCATGGGGAGCTCCACCGAAGGCCCCAGTGGCAAAGTTCGCATGCAGTTCCACCCCCATTTCAGCGCACCCCTCACAAGGTTCGTGGCCCCATAGGGAGCTCCACCGAGGACGGTATTTCCTTAATCAGAGCTTGCCTCTGTGGGGGTCCTAGCGGATTCATATGGTTAAATTAGGTTTGCCGCCGATTTTCGCCGCGCGCCCAGGTGCCCGGGTGCCCAGGTGCCCGGGTGCCCGGGTGCCCAGGCGTGCCCGGGGGTGCCCTATAGCCCTATAGCCAAATAACCCTACAGCCATATAGCCCTACAGCTCTATAACTCTATAGCCCTATCAGCTCTATAGCCCTATAGCCCTATACCCTACAGCCCTATAGCCCTGTAGCTCTATTACCCTATAGCCCATCTAGCCCTACAGCCCTAAAAAGATTATGATTGGGTTTTTTCTCCGGTATCATTACCATTGCGTTACTCACAACTGCACACGGTTGGGTCCTTCGCCTGGGTAATTTGGGGAGGTCTCTGAGGGATCTGGGGCTTGTTGAGGGCCTCTGGGGGGTCCTGGAGGCTTCTCGGGGGCCTCTTGGGGCCTCCTGCTCCCGCCCCTGGGCCTCTTTTGAGCGGTCCTGGGGCGCTCTCGGCCCGTCTTGGGCGCCTCTTGGGCAGTCTTCACGATCTCTGGGGCCGTCTTGGGCTCTCTTGAAGACGTTCATCCGCCCGCCTGGGGCGGTCTTGGGGGCCTCTTGGGCTGTCTTGAAGCGTTGGATGCTCGAAAACGCGAGAAGGCCAAAACCTCTCAATGAACTCAACTTGGAAACTCGGCACGCCTCTCGGAGGTCTCTTGGGCCTCTTGGAGGCCTTCTGGTCAACCCTTCGGCGATCCTGGGAGCCTGGAAAGCCGTCGAAAGACTTTCTTGGGCTACTAAACAGCCTCTTGGGCTGTTTTTTTGCGTTCTGGGGGCTCTCAGGGGGCTCTTTGGGGGCGTCTTGGGGCGTTTTGAAGCCTTCCTGGGAGGCCCGGGGGCGCGGTACCAGGAGTTGCCCCTAGATATTCCGAAGGTATGGGACGCCCCTGTGGTATTCGGAGATTTAGAGCCCTCGAAGGTTTCCTTGGGTCTTCTTGGCCAGTGACGGGGGCCATGATGGTTGCCTGTTATGCCAGAGTAGCGTGCGGGGGGGGCGGGCTGAAATCAGAATGGACTCTGATAATTATTTTCTTCTTTGAAATTGCCACGCTTGAGATGTGGGACAGAAGTCCCCGGGATACAAGCCATGGTCTGTTGCGATGGCCCTCGGGGCCTCTTTGGCGGAGTCGGAGGTCTTTCGAGGCCTCTTGGGGAGCTCTTGGTGCCTCCTGGGAGTCTCCCGGGAGTCTCTGAAGGCATCTGAGGGGCGCCTCGAGAGCCTTTGAGAGAACCCTGGGGCCATCTTAAGGCAAAGCGCTCGAAAGGCTTGAGCAGGTCCTCTCCTTTGGCTCTCTCTTGGCGCGCGCGCTGACGTTATAGCTAGGCTGGACAGGTGAACTCATGGGATCTTGATTTTTACGGTGGCTTCAGGGGCAGCCAAGAGGACAGGAAGACGACCCGAAAGAGTGCCAAGACAGCGTCAGAGAGTTCAACCGTACTCCCGGAACACCTTGTAATGTGACCCCGAAATCTTGATGGGGCTCGGGATAATCGGGGGCGGCAAAGAGGGGGGTGTCCAAGAGGGGGGGGTGCAAATCATGACCGGCGGTATGTGCGCGGCCCAGCGGGGGGGCCAGGGACGTAATGAAATAAGAGGAGGCGCCATGAAATCTGGGGAAATATCATGGCCTCCGCCATGATAGCCACCCCCCCTAATCATCACCCCCCTCTTTTCCGCGCCCGAGATAAACTGGGACAAGCAAGAATCACTGGATTTCCGTGTTTCTTTTCAAGTTGGGCCTCCTACCGTGTAGTGCGCAGGCATCGGGGGGGGGGGCCCAAGAGGCGTGCAGGGGGCTCTCGGGAGGCAGTTTGGAGGCCGCTGGGGGGCTGCTTTGGGGCCCCTTGGGGCCACTTTTGGGGCCTCGTCAGGGCTCTTGGGGGCCTCTTCAGACTCTTCGGTCGGGGATGGACAGAACCCCCTTTAGCAAAACGTGGTTTAGTGAAAACGACCTCGGGCCCAAAGCTGGCGGGCGCAAGCCTGGAAAATGACGGCCGCGGCGCCCTCTCGAGAATCGAAACAGGACAATTCACTAATCGACGTGTCAGGGTGGGGGTTCTGTCCACCCCCGATTCGGGGAACTCTGAGCGGAAAGCCAGGATTGTCGTTTTGCGTTCCCCCTGTTGGGCGGCTTTCGAGCCATCTTAGGGCTCTCTTGGGCTGCCTCGCAGCGCTCTTGGGCCGTCTTGGGGCCTTTTTTGGCCCGTCTTGGAGGCGTCTTGTGGGCTCTTGAGCGATCTTGGGGCGGTCTTGGGGACCTTGCTCGGCCGTCTTGGAGCGTGGGAAGCTCGAAAACACGAGAAGGCTAAAAACCCACCAGCAAACCAATGAACATCAACGTTTTGGGCCTCTTCGGGCGCTCCTGGGACGCCTCTCGGAGCTCTCTTGGGGCCTCTTGGAGGCCTCCTGGGAGCCTGGAGGGCCGTCGGCAATCTGTCTTGGGCTGCTTGGAGCTCTCTTGGGGCCTCTTGGAGGCCTCCTGGGAGCCTGGAGAGCCGTCGGCAATCTGTCTTGGGTTGCTTGGGAGCGTCTTGGGCCGTCCTTTCGCATTCTGGGGGCTCTTTTGGGAGCGTCTTGGGCGGTCGTGGGGTGTTTGGGAGGCTCCCTGGGCGGCCCGGGGGCGCGGTACCGGGAGTTGCCCCTAGATGTCACGGAGGTGGGGGACGCTCCCAGGGGGGGGCTATTATATATATATATATATATATATATATATATATATATTTATATATGTATATATATATATTATATATATATATATATATATATATATATATATGTATATATATAAATACACATAAGAGAGAGAGAGAGAGAGAGAGAGAGAGAGAAAACAAACAAAAAAAGAGAGACCAAAATCGGAAATGTCTGAGAATCGGCGGGCTTGGGGGATCTATCGTGCGCCGAGGCCGTTTCAGAGCGTTCCGGAACGCTCTGGAACGGATGTATGTCGAATCGAAACCCGTCCGATCCTTTGTGGCCTCAGAGGCAACTCGAACAACTTGTCGGAAGGCCGGAAACCTTCCAAACCTCCCGAGACCGCTTTCTCTGCCCCACCTCGGAGCGCCGCCGACATGCGGGGGTATGTCTAATACATATATATATATACACACACACATATATATATATACAGGTGGGTGGCCCGGTGGGTTCCCCATTCGGCCTGAAGATGAAGAC